ACACACACACACTCTCTCACACACACACACACACACACTCACACACTCACACACACTCAGACACTCACACTCACACACACTCTCACACACACACACACGCACTCACGCAGCTGTTTAATTCCCCAATAAGTCATGCTGAGCAGCTTTAATATGTTCATTTGATCATACTGTCTATCTTTTGAAGTAATACAGGTCTGTGTTAATAAGCAAATGTTGATATTTTTCACTAGAGAGTCCCTCCAGAAGAGAAGGCAGTTGTGGGACCCTGGCTTCTTGCCTTGTTCGTCTTTGTAGTATGTGGATCAGGTGAGTTATTGAGAGTTAAATATGTTGTGTAATGCATTAAAGTGATCATCCTTTGAATTTACTGACGACTTTTTCAATCAAATACATCCAAAGCAAGGAATCGGCATGGCAAGCGTTAACTTTATTTCATAACTCCATGTTTAAAGGGACAAAGTGCATTTCTAATGCAGCCTGGTTTCAAACCCGATCCACAGACAAAGTTTAAATTTAAAATATTCCTTGAATATCCGTAAGCCATGCTTTAGCTAGTGTTGCAATATTGGAAAAAAATCATACGGGGAAATCAGTGTTCACTTTAATTTATTTAAATGTGGAGTTCAAAAAGAGTTTTTCTCATGCATGAGCATTCATTGGTAGCATGCTCTAACCATTGTGCGATTTATTTGAAGACGACATAAAATCTCTTTTACCTTCATGATTGATCAACATGCATTTTTTCTGATGAACATGCAAAGACACTGAACAACTTCAAAAAACAAACTTTGCATTATATGAACTAATGTTATTTTTCTGTCCTTTCGCTACAGCGATATTCCAGATCATTCAGAGCATCCGGATGGGAATGTGAGCGGTCATCGGCATTGTACATCAGTTTGTTCTCTTCTCCCGGCTTTCCTGAAGATCGCTTGATCAGTCCTCTTTTCTTATTTAATCTTTATCTTCCACCACAACACCACAGTCTCTTGTGTCTTACTCAAAAGCTGGAGGAACATTATCTTCTGAAACATTACAATATTGCTGCTGAATCCAAGGCAATAAACTCAAATGACCGTTTGAACTTTTTCTGTGGAAAAAAAACACGTTTGTTTAAATGAAATGTTGCATTGAATTTTCCATGTTGTAGGTTTTGGATCAGTTCATGTTCATTGTTAACATTATTCGGTACTATGCACCTTTGGTTGGGTTTTCCTCTACATTTAGAGCTGAATTTGTGTTCTTTGACTACTTTGACAAGGAAACGAAGGTCCACATATTCAGTTGTATGTGTAGAGAACATGAAAAACAATAAAAAAGACTTTTAAAATGTCTCTTTTTTTGTCTTTAAAATACTTGGTAAAAAATAAAGCCAACTGGGTGTCTGCAGATTTATTAAGGGGCCCATAGACTGGTTTAAAATAAACATACATTTGAGCTCTTAACATAAAACAAATGTAAATCTCTGTTGGCTGTTAGCATAGTGTGGTAACTCTCGTTTATGATCATTTTTTATTTTTTAATGATTTATTAAAATTATTGAATTTAGTGGTTTCTGTAGTTCCTATAGTTAACCAGTAGGGGGCCAGTAGAGTTTGTATATTTCCATATTTAAATCACATCATAGGTCAATACATTTTTCATCTGATTTCAGTTCTTATATATATATATATATATATCACACACTCCTTTCTGCAAGAGTTGATCGATTATAGAACTGCATCTATTTTTTCTGTTTAATTTAAACAAACTTTTGAATCAAACATTTGAGTCGTATAAACACTTTAAATCAAGATTTGAATGCACTTGAATTAGTTTTATCTCAGATCAAGTTGATATTTATATACCATGCCATTTTCCTACTTAACAAGAAATTATGAACACTTAGATATTAAAAATGTATGCATTAAAAGACATTACAATTTATAAAAATGTGTAAAAATACATAAAATAATAAAGAAATAACTTAAAATCTATATATAAGATACATATAAATAAATAAAATGATAACTACGATTTAAAACAATAGTAATATTAAGTAAACTGAAACATTAATAAGCAAAGTAAATTAAACATCAACGGAATAATTAAAAAAATCCTCAAATTGTTTCAAGAATCTGTCACTTCTTTTAGAATCTTTTAGTAAACATTAAACATTTTACAAATAAAAAACAATACCTAATTTATTTATAATATTAATATATTGATATTAACATTAATTTAAAATCTAAATCTATATAATCTATATGTAAATAATTAATGCTATAATAACAATGTTGTGTAAAAATAGTAATATTAAACGAAAACATTAATAAGCAGAGGATAGCAAATTAAACATAAACAGAATCATTTTTTAAAAATCCTCAAATTGTTTCAAGAATGTCACATTAAAATGTATAAAAAAATTATAAAAATAAAATAATAAATAAAATAATTAGCTTTTAATATTCATCTTTTTAAAAACACATTCTTATTGTAATGAAGACATGGAAGATAACATGAAAATATTCATAAAAATACACACACACTCTCTCTCTCTCTCACACACACACACACACACACACAAACATATATATTTATATATCTTAACTCCCTACCCCCCAAAGCATCCAAATTTTGCATTCAATTATACAGGTAAAGATGTTTTTAATATTAATCTTAAAATCTCTCTCTCTATATATATATATATAGTATTATAACTGATTTACGAAAAAATAGTAATATTACATAAACGGAAAAATTAATAAGCAGAGGTAAGGAAATTAATCCTCATCTACAGAATCATTAAAAAAATAATCAAATTGTTTCAAGGATCTGTCACATTATTTATTACTAGTCAGACAAAAAGATTTGAGAAGTGAGTCGTTTCAATCAACGCACGCACGCACGCACGTACTGACGTAAAGGTGTCCTCGCCGGTGCTCCGTCGATCGGTGCGTCTGTCTGCTCTCCGCGCGCTGCGCATGCGCACTGCCACTGTCCGCGCTCGTGCGGGGCCCGTGACGATCCAGCGGGAGTGTTAGCTGTGTAATGGCGGCTTCGGTGTTGCTCTCCGCGGAAAGCGCCGTGCCTTTGTTTACCGTCGGCCACCCCGCCGGAGCTGCGGCGGCGGGAGCTGCTCATCACGGATTACCCAGTGCTCCCGGAGCCGCGTCCTGGAGCCGCTCGCTGGACCGGGCGCTGGACGAGGCGGCGGCCACCGGAGCGCTCACCCTCAGCGGCAGGAAGCTGAAGGAGTTCCCGCGGATCGCCGCCGGACACGACCTAACCGACACCACACGCGCCGGTAACGAGCTAACCTTCACATTCCGTTACCCTTTAACCGTTTTAACCGTTAACCCGTCCAGAAGCTAAGCTAAAGCCGCTGTGGTCGAGTTTTACGCTAGTTTATTTACACTGTGTTTGTCTGGTGTGTAAACACACGGGTGTGTTGTGCTGGAAGCCCATCTGAACTCACGATCGGTCATTTGTGTCCAAGAAATGTGAACGTTTCAGAAATTAGCTTTGTCTAAAGTTGAGTTTAACTCCTAAACTTTCAAGTCATGGTTGTGTTAAAGGGGATATCTGTCAAACTGAGCTCCATATAGCTTATTTGAGACCCAAACATTGGGTTTGTTTGACCGGTTCAGAGGTTTATTATGTTGGTCATCTTTAGGTTAAGGTGTTTGATTATCAAACTGAGGATCTGTGGTCATCATGTGAATTGGGTTTTGATTGTCAAGTGGGTTTCTAAAGATCTTGGTGACTTCATAAGGTCTGATTATGAGGTTTGGTCATTATTTTGAGGAATGCTGTCATATTAAATTGATATTAATTTTATTTTATATATAATAAATATTTTACATAACAGGTTTTACTCTAAAATTGGTATAAAATTATAGCCTTATGTCTAAATAAGGTATGTTCCAAATTTGATATGAAAAAAATTGAGGTTCCTGTGAGATTTTATTTAGGGCGTTATGCCACAAACAGCCACCGGGTGCCATCCAAACTCCATTGAATTTTTTTAATGCATTTTTCTGTCACAAATGTCTAGATTTCTCTGTCAATATTACTTTATGTTTGCAAACTTTGCATGCAAAGACCCCAATTTATACTGTGAATATTTACATTAAATGAGGACAGTAGAAGCAATCAAAACCAACAAGAGCAAAAATATGATATACACACACAATCTCTTAAAGTTTCTCTTTAAACTCTTCTCAAAACCCCTGTTTAAAAACCTCTGACGTTGATTATATGAGACCCTGTTAAGAGGTTTTGATGTTAATATTGTATTTTATTACTATAGCAGATGAACAGATGCTTCATTTATTATACCAATCTATCTATTGCCTTTTACAACACACGTATGTGCATAGTGACTGAGAAGGACAATATTAGCACTATGACTGTTCATAAAAATCGTTAAATGCCTGCCTCTTCCGCACATATTAAAACAGGCCCTACTGTAATGTAGCTTGCTTATCTGACACATACAGGTGCAGGCCTCACGGTTTAGGAGTTTCTAGACATGTTCGGACATGTGATTTAAATTTCATCGCAAGAATCGCAATCAGAAAAGCAGTGTGAGCTGTATAGGACCCCATATGTTTATAAAATATTTTATATTGTATGTTGCATAAAACCTCTTTAATGAGTCGTGTGTACAGTAAAACCAGTCCAGGCTATATAAACATCTGTCTGAAGGTTTTTGCGGACTGCTGTATGTTTTAAGTGTTTGCATCATGACTGGTAAATCACTAAATGACTACCTGATTGATCGGCATGCAGATAGACAGGTTCATTACTCTTCTTAAGTTATGACAGTACCACAATGACTTCTCTGTGTGTACAGTTGCTTTGTGGTTTTGTTGTGTGCAAATTGCTGGGAAAATTTGAATTTAATTTATTTTAGTCTAAAGCATAATGCATATGATGCTTAATGTCTCAAATTACTATTGCAAAGGGAAGATGGATGCAGAAAACTGTTTTTATTGTAGACATCAGTTATATAACACAAGGAGGTAATTGCATTGTGTAGATGCATAACTTTAACCTTTATGTCTTAGGGAATAAAGTTAGTTTAACTTTGTCCGTTCTGTTTGTCACAGAGCGGAAAGTGGTGTTTCTTAATGCAAGTTTCACTATTATTACAGCTCATATTTAACAAAGCCTATAGGTCTAGTAAGTGTTAGCCACCCAGAATTGTGTTGCACGGTCTGAAAATAGGAAATGGTCATCGTAGCTCAGGACTACAGCTCTGATCCTGAGCACACTTGGTGTCTTGTGTCTGTGTCAATATTGATCGTCTGTGCAGTGCATGCTGGGATGCACACAAAATTCTCTGATTTCGTTCTCATCCAAAGCCGGTTCACATAAATGCAGACTGTAGGAATGAACTGGAACAAAATAAAGGAAAGCTTTTCAATGCTCTAACCCCAAAAATAGCTCTATTGCTTTGCTGTGAGTTTGTTATGGTTTGCTAATGACAGATTGTGAGTGCCATAGCTTTGTTTCTGCCAGAGTATTTCTTTAATGAGGTCATTTTAGGGTGATAATAACAGTTTAACATCGGCTCTTGAGTCTGACTATAAGAGGTTTATCAATAATTACTTTTTTTCTGTAAAGGCTACTTATTAAATTTAGGAGAACAAGTGACAGTTGTGATTGCCAGAGATTAAATAAACAATTGTAATGAGTTCAACCCTCAAGCAACATACATAACTACCAAATTTTGCTTTAAGTTTAATCGCAACATATAAACTACATGATTTTTACTGTATATTTCTGCCATATGGACATCAACTTGACATAGTCGCCACCGATAAGCTACAACTAAATATAAGCCTAACGTAGAAACTTTAAAATAGAAACTTACATTTTCTGTAAAGCTGCTTTGCAACGATTTGTATCGTGAAGAACGCTATACAAATAAACTTGATATGAATTTAATTGAATTGAATTTAGTGATCTATATAATGATTTATATATATATAAACTAGGGCTGCACGATAAATCGCATGCGATATTTAACGCGCATCTTGTCAGAAAGCCGGTTCTGTAATCAGCGGTAAATCTCCATCACCTGCGGGCTTTCACATTGAGCAGCATTAACTACACAGAGCCGTTGTTCACTGACGAGCTGCGCAAAAAATTGCGCGAATATGAACGTGGTTTTGCGCAGCTCGTCAGTGAACAACGGCTCTGTGTAGTTAATGCTGCTCAATGTGAAAGCCCGCAGGTGATGGAGATTTACCGCTGATTACAGAATGGCTTTACTGACAAGATGCGCGTTAAATATCGCATGCGATTTATCGTGCAGCCCTAAATTAAACCTATTCTAACTTCTTAAATCTAAATTATACAATACTGATAACCAGAATACAACTATGTCGATTTTTACAATAAATTATAATGTATTTCATACGGTTTTCTTCCAAAAAAACGTACATTTTTACAATACAGTAGACTAATAGACCTGTTAAGACTAATACAATTTTTCATTTTATATAATAAGGTAACCTACAGAGAAATAATGAACACATTTTGATGGCCACTTTTTCCAGTATATGCATCTTTACACAGCTGAGTTAAGGCTGCTCTGTGCCTGCTTAAAATTTAGTGTAAAGACGCAATGCTGCATAAAAGCCAGACTAAATTATGCCTGCTCTGACCCAGCTCAGCCCCAGTATCAGAGTATACAGTTGTAATTGCTGTGTAAATGTATTTATGCAAGTAGAAAAAGACACTCAAATGCCACTTCAGAAGCACTTCTGTGCCACCTTTGCATTGTAAATGTTGCATTACAGAGTTACATGGTAAATAATAACAGGTTTGTCAGGAAGTATTTCAACTTCTTTTTTTTTCGTTAAAAGTCCTAGCATTTCTTACAGTGTGTGAAAGCCAAGTAATTTTAATGAGTCACAGATCTGAATGCTCCACCTGTGGTGTAATCTAAATATGCGTCATTGAAATGATCTGTTGGCTGTTCGTATTGAATAATTCATAGTCAAGCAGCTATTGTTGAGAGTGTTTGTAAGTCTCTGCTGATATTTGACCTCAGATATTTCCTCGTCTGATTGCTTTGGCTGCGTTGTCCTGTGAACTGTGCCAAATGTACTGGTCTCCTGCTAAGGAATGCTGTCTTTCCTCAGCTCAGAAGACTCAGAACAGGTGTCCTCCCTCGGAAAGCGATTACAAGGCTTTCTGGACTGCTGTCAATTCAATGACACCAGCAGTGCAGACAGTGCGATTGTCCCCGCTGACTGTTTAATTAACTTCAGACTCCTATTTAGTGGTAGTTGCTGTTGTTGTCTTGTCAGTTAGTTGATAGTTTTCTTCAAGATGATGGAAGTAAATATTTTGATCTTGCAGTCTTGGCAGATAGATGGAGGTTTGGTTGTGAATTTTTGACTCACAGTTCTATTAATAATAGAGTTATTTGACAATTCTGGTTAATTAGCACTCTTACCCCCGGTTTCACAGACAAGGCTTAAGCCTAGTCCTAGACTAAAATGTAAGTCTGAGCTGTTTCAAATGAAAGAAACTTGCACTGACTGATCTTAAAATATATCAGTGCCTTTGTTTTGTTTTACTGATTATTTTATTGTGATGGTTTCAACTCCTAAAGGACTCCAGAACTCTTGTATATTTGTGTTATTTTTAGTTTTTTAGTTATATATTTGTTAGTTGGTTATTTATTTGTTGGTTAATAATTTATTGGATATTTATTTAGCTATTTGTTGGTTATTTAATTATAGGCTATTAATTTCTTTTCTTTTTTTTGTTATTTATTTATTGGTTGTTTATTTGTATTTTTTCTTTGATTACGTTGTATGAAAGGAGATTTAATGGAACCACATTGAGTTTTGGATTTGTAAAAAATCTAAGATCAACATTTTGTTGCTTTTTTGTTTTGTTTAATTAGATTAATAAACCTTTTAAGACTGAATCAAGAAATCTCTGGAACATTTTTGGGTCCTGTTTCATCTTAAAATGTAAATGTAACGTTTTTTCTTTTCTTTCTTTCTTCCTTCCTTCCTTCCTTTCTTTCTTTCTTTCTTTCTTTCTTTCTTTCTTTCTTTCTTTTACATAGTGCTTTGTGAATTTCCCCCTCAGTACAAAATATTGCATGTAAATATTCCATTGTAATTTGTAATTCCCAATATTGTCAAAGAGGGAAAAACTTAAAAAAAAAAAATCTATAAAAGTTGAGTCACTAACTATTACATGTACTGAATACCTTAAATACTTTTTTTTTTTTGTGTAACTGTAATGATAGCGTGGGAATGAAATAGTCATGTGTCAATAATGTCATAGTATTGAATGAAGTTTAGTTTTTCTTTGATTGTGTTTGGATTTTGGTGCTGATATGTTCTAGCTTTGCACGAGTTGTTTGAGAAACGTTACCTCACTCAGAGTGCTGTGGACTGTGGTCATGTCAGTTTACTTGCGAAAAGTCAGAGACATTGCAATTACACACTTTCCCACGCCATGCTTTGTTTTGAACAGAACCTCTTGGCTTTATATAAGCAGGCATGTCAAGTTCACCGCAGAAGACCTCTTGGTTGCTACATGATGAGCACTTAAACATACACTAGCGTGTCTCCTGTCTTCTGCTCTCAAACACATCTCAGACAGACAAAGAAAGAAGAATGAGCTTGTCCTCATTTTGCAGGAGGAGGTTTTTGTGCATTGTTGTCTGTTGTGTCGCATGGTGACTCGATGTGTCCATGACAGAAAAGTGCAACTACAAAAGCAAGAAATTGTATTGTTATACTGTGTTAAACTTACAGGTTTTTGCTTAGTGCATTGTTCATGAAATTTGTAGGAACTGTTAAATTTTGTGGCCTTGTTAATTTAGTTTAGTGTGGATTTATTCTGGGCTGGGTGATATATTGAATATTCATGATATGCATTGATTATATAACATGAAACAACACTACTAATATCACAGTAATTCATGCATTATTTTGTACTTGGCCAGTAAGTTTCCTACATATCAAGTTATTAGACCAGTTTAGTTCTTCATTGTTGTTACGGAGAAGGTTAAACTGTTTCAAAAAACAACACTTCTTGATGTATATGTGTGTGCGTGTGTGTATATATGTGCATAATTTTTCAGATTAACAGGTTAGGGTTTTAACTGTATTTTACTTCTTGTATTAAACATTTTGAATCAACTTTGCATCTGTAGCTGTTTCAAAATGATGGTTGTTCTGACTAGAAAAAAATAGGATTCTTTTATTTTAAACTAGAAATATATGGCTTGTATTTGGTGTTATTTTGCAGTGTGCTTTATTGAAAAGGCTTATGAGAGAGATATTTGATCTAGAAGGAATCCTTCGAGGGAGATGCAGGATTGAAGATTATTGCAGTGAGTCTGTCTGGTGTTGTCTCACCTCGAGGCCAGAACTGATGACTGTTGTGCACAAGCATGAAGGAAGTGAAGTCATCTGGATATTACTGTGACTGTCTATATTTGACAGAGGCCACAAGTCAGGCTGAAATGCGGTCCGGTGCTGGACACTCATAGAGGAAATATAAACCAAAAACGAGAAGAGGAGATGCACACTACTCAGTCTTTGCTCTTCTTGGCTCTGATGTTGCATAATGTTGGTTGTTTTCAGAATTGCAGTATGGTTTGTAAACAGATCGTCACAGGGATCAGAGACTGAGGACAAGTGTTTTGGATCCTGTCTAGGCCTGATACAATCTGATCCCACTTTTTGCTTGGGTGTTTCCAATAACAGTGTGTGTTTGTGGTTTGCATGAGCGTCTGAAAACTAAAACTCCCTATGCCTTGTTTTCTGTAAAATATGACTCAGAAAGACACAGAAGCTGCTTGTGCTCATCTGAAACATCTGCCCACTTTATTGTAAAAGAGCGTGTGTGTTTTGAGTTCTCCGTAATGGATCCGTGCTGCGTTTGTGTGCTGGTTTTAGGTAGCAGTCAGTGTAGGAAGCAGATGTTACAGTCAGCAGCACTTCCCATCTTCCCCATCCCGGATCTCTGCACAGCTGCACTGTTACAAATATAGATCCAGTGTGGATTGGAAAGCCATCAGTACATCCACACACCTCCACAAACAACATATACAGGCTGCAGATCTGATTACACTGATGTTGTGTTGCAAAACACTGATCCAGGCCTGAAAGATGGCAGAGGTTTAAGAAACCTTGTGCAATTTGGAAACTTGTCTTCTTGAACTGTGCAATATAATTAAAGAAAAATGATCAGTAGCCTTTTGACAATATATAATATACATCTCAATATTTATCTGTTTGCTCTCTTTTTTGTAAGTCTTTTGTCCCAGTTAGTATATTCAGAAGAATGAAAATGTTCATGTAATGTTTTTTAAATACACGTTTTTATTGTAATTTTTGCTATATTAGTATATTCAGAAAATGTAAACATGTTCAGAAAAAAATACCAAATTTTTTAAAATATAAATGTATTCACAGAAAACTGACAAAATTATGTAAAAAATTTATTAAAATACAGATTTCATCATTTTTATATTGTTGGTTTTTTTCCTGTTGAAGTTTTTATTGTTTTTATGTAGCCATTTTTGCTGTTAGTATATTCAGAAAATGTAAATGTATTCAGAAATTTTTTTTTTTTTTTTTTTTTTTTTAAAAAAAGCAAAAAAAATCAAAATTTTTAAAAAAAAAATTTTTTTTTTTTTTTTTTTTTAAAAAAAGCAAAAAAAATCAAAATTTTTAAAAAAAAAATTTTTTTTTTTTTTTTTTTTTGAGAAAAAGCTGACAAAATCGTAACGTTTTAAAAATACATATCTTTTTTATATAGTTTTCATCGTTTTTATGTTGTGGTTTTTGCTATTAACATATTCAGAAAATGTAAATCTCTGTATTAGAAAAATGTAAATCTCTGTATTAGAAAATACAGACAAAATCTTTTTAAAATAGATGAAGTGTATTGTCATTTATGCTAGTAGTATATTCAGAAAATGTGAATATATTCATAAAATGCCAACAAACTTTAAAAAAAAAGGTAGAATCTTTTGAAATAAATATGTTTTCAGAAAATACAGATAAAATCTTTTGAAATAACGTTCATTTTCATTGGCTTTATACTGTCGTTTGTGCTATTTGTATATTCAGAAAATTTAAATGTATTAAAAAATGCATACACGATATTTTAAAAGTTTTTTAAAAACATATTTTCATTGTATTTATATTGTCGTTTTTGGTAATGAAGTTTACATCAGACACTATAGAAATGAAGTGCAAAAGTGTTGAAATGAGTTTTGGAGCACCAGTGAGGATATACTGGCCTCTTTCATGTAAGCCAGAACAGAAAAATGGACACTTATCTCGCTCAGTTCGGCAGCTATTTTTGGTGGTCATGGGGTCCCTTGTGTGAGTGTTTGTCCTCTGGGTTTAAAGTCTGAGTGTGTGTGTGTTAGAGCTGCACGATTAATCGTTAAAAGATCGCGATCTCGATTCAGTTCAGAATCGTGGGAGATTCGTGATCTCTATTTGAGACAAAAAAAATAGTGATTCTCAATTTATCCAGAATCGCGCAGCTCTAGTCCTGTGTTTTGTTTTGTTTTATACTTGAGTGCAATAAATTTTGGTTGAAAAAATGAGAATCGTGTAAGAGAATCGTGATCTCAATTCCCATGGAGAAAAATCGTGATTCACATTTTAGCAAGAATCGTGCAGCCCTAGTGTGTGTGTGTGTGTGTGTGTGCATGCATGCAAATATATAAAGAGTTTCTTGAATTTCTGATGAAATCAAAGCAAGATTTCTGGATTAGTTCCGAAAAAGATCCTAAATCTTGATGCGGAAGGCACTTTGTTTACCCCTAAACATGTAGCCTACTAAACGGTTAAACACAGTTAAACACAGTCATTTGAGATTATGAATCTGACATAGTATTGTGGGATTGAAAGTGGTCTGGAGCAAGTGAGAAATGAGTGTCAAGCAGCAGTAAAACACTTTGTGCTGTATATGCACCAGTAGTGCTGTTATTACGGTATATTCAGATTTCAGATCGAATGCTCGTATTGTGGCTGCGTTAACAAGTTATGTTTTATAAATTGATATTTTATGTATAAATTGGGCATGCATTTTGTAATTTGGTCATGCATTTTTTTTTATTTCAAATTAAATTTAAGAGTGCATATACTGCAGAGTTCCTTCTGTATTTTGTTTTTTGCATTTCTGCAATTACACATGTAATTTGAGCATGCATTTTGTATTTCAACTTAAAATTTGACAGCTGTAATTATGCATGTTTCGTTGGCTGTTTTGAAAGCAATCATAGGTCATAATAAAGACAACCACACTTGAATTCTGCATACACAGTACTGTGTGAAGTTCTGTGAACCCTCAAAAGGGTTCAGTCACTTGTTCCTGCTGGCTGCTAGCTGACAATTGGATAGACCTGGATAATGAGTGTGCAATGGAAATGTCAGTTTTTCCCCACACAGACTAGAATCAGACATCTATTTTTCTATTTATAGCAAATGAGGAGTTCAGTAACTCAGTATTTAGATTTTATTTAGGCTATGTTAAGTTTTACACCAAAAAGGTGGAAATATGTATTTGCTTTGTAATGTACTTGATTAAGCAGCAATGAACCTTAATATATCCTGCTTCCAATATCAGCCAATTCAGATCAAAAGCAGTAATAAAAACATAAAAAAGACATTTTGGCTGATGCTGATGTATTTGTATCATTTCCTTGACCTGAAGTAGAAGAAAGGTTCTCAGAGACTGGTTTTCCAGCACATTAGTCCAGGAATGGACAGCCAAGAGCTCATCAAAGACAGGTGTGCAGCCGTCCTGGATGCCAGACATGCGTTTCTCATTGTCTCTTTCTCTCTCTGTTATCTGTCCTCTCAGATCTATCACGAAACAGACTGACAGAGCTGCCGGTGGAGGTGTGCATGTTTGTGTCGCTGGAGAGTTTGAACCTGTACCAGAACTGCCTGCGCTCACTACCAGAGCGTCTGATAAACCTACAGTCCCTCACCTACCTAAACATCAGGTCATATACACAGACACAGCATTCATAACATAACACTAGAATATATTTATCTCAAATATTGGTATTGAACCATTTTAAATGTTACCACAGCTGAACGGCAGCGGTATTTTAACATGGAGTTCTGGGGATATGAAAAACATTGATTGGATTTGTTAAAAAATACGTTCTAGAGTCCATTTATTCTTACAATTCATGATTTGAGATTTAAAGGGATAGTTCACCCAAAAATGAAAATTCTGTCATTAATTACTCACCCTCATGTCGTTCCAAACCCGTAAGACCTTCATTCATCTTCGGAATATGAATTAAGATATTTTTTATGAAATCCAAGAGCTCTCTGACCCTCCCATAGACAGCAATAGCCAAAAATACATTGTATGGGTCAAAATTATAGATTTTTCTTTTATGCCAAAAATCATTAGGATATTAAGTAAAGATCATGTTCCATGAAGATATTTTGTAAATTTCCTATCGTAAATATATCATAACTTAATTTTTGATTAGTAATATGCATTGCTAAGAACTTCATTTGAACAACTTTAAAGATGATTTTCTCAATATTTTGATTTTTTTGCACCCTCAGATTCCAGATTTTCAAATAGTTGTATCTCGACCAAATATTGTCCTATCCTAACAAACAATACATCAATGGAAAGATTATTTATTCAGCTTTCAGATGATGTATAAATCTCAATTTTGAAAAATTGACACTTAAGACTGGTTTTGTGGTCCATGGTCACATTTGTGTTCCGAAGATGAACGAAGGTTTTCCGGGTTTGGAATGACATGGGGGTAAGTGATTAATGACAGAATTTTCATTTTTGGGTGAACTAACCCTTTAACCCATCAATTATTACGCAATTCCAAAAAGCTTCCAACCAGCAGGACAAGTAACTCATTGTAAACCATATTTTACTCTCAGTTGGTGCACAGCAAGTGTTAATTAGTGTTGTTTACTAAAGCAAGCATCACTAGTACTGTTGCTTATGCTTTTGATCTCCAACCCAGCTTCAGCGGGTCCTGCACTGTTTGGGGTTCAGACATAATGACACCTCATATTGTTTGGCTTTTTAGTCGTGTGTGAGGTGTGTTATTACTTTAGGCGATCCGACTCTCAAAATTTGCCTGGAGGATCATAAAATGAGAAAACAAAAATCCCACAGGTTTATATTAAAAGTCATATCTAGAGACCAGAATCCAGTAGAGAAATACAGATGTGGGCTCTTTTGATTAAGACCAGTAAGAAACCAATTAGTGCTATTTTAGTATAATTTTTTTTACTGTTGTTGTATGTAATATTTTGAATTAGCTTTTAGTTTTAATTCCAGTTTTTATTTTAAATGTAGCATTTTTTTTAGCTTTAATTTTTTTCAGTATTAGTAATTTACTTTTTTCAGTTAGTTTTCAAAAGAACATTTAAAATTTTTGTTTAAGTTGAAGTTTTTCATCTAATAATTGTATTGTGTTTGTTTTATTTTGGTTAATAATTTTATTTTTGGTTAACAACAACACTGTTAGCAACAAAGAGATGAGAGGTTATAGTAAAACCGGACGACAGTAAATAAGATGATGTAGAGATCAAACTTCTCAAGTGACTGAAACTTGTGTAGAACTTGTGTAGAAGCAGCCACAGTGTTTCTCATGATGTGTGTGGCACAGTCTCCATCCTTTTTAATAGTATTTTTTTTTTTTTTTTTTTACAAATGAAGGACTTTTGTTTACAAGTAATAATACCTAAATCTTGTTGAGGAGAGTTTGCTATTACTATTGAGTAATCAGGTCATGTTTTGCTTTTGCTTGGTGGCAAGTAAAATAAAAAACTGAAATAAAATATAGCGTAAATACAGTAAAATATAAATAAAATATTAACTATTTTCATCTAATATTTATATTTTTTTATTTCAATTAATTTTTAATAGTTTTAGTTAGGGTTGCAGAGGGGTGGAAAATTTCTGGTACATTTCCGGAAACTTTCCAAAAATCCATGGAATATTCCAAAAAAAAAGTTTCAAAATTTCTGGAATATTTCCGAAATTTACTGGAAATTTTCCACCTTTTTGCAACCCTAGTTTTAGTTAGCAATAGCAACACTGTTAGCAGCATAAAATCATTCAGAACTCTTTAGTAACTACATTGCCCTTTCCAAGTTATTCAAGCGAAAGTACCACTCATACTTTCTTAAATCTAGTCATTGGAGCCTGCGGTTTCTGATTCTCTTGGTTTTCGTTTGCTCTCTGCAGTCGGAACCAGTTGTCCACTCTTCCCGCTCATCTGTGCCGTCTGCCGCTCAAAGTTCTGATCGCCTGCAATAACAAGCTGGTATCGCTGCCGGAGGATCTGGGCAAACTCAGACAGCTCACCGAACTGGTGTGTGGTGTGTGTCATCTTCACATTTGCTCTCACTCATGCACATTACTCATCACTTCTCTCTCTCTCTCTCGCTTCAAGGACGTCAGCTGTAATGAGATCCAGACGCTTCCTCCACAGATCGGTCAGCTGGAAGCTCTGCGCGACCTCAACATCCGCAGAAACCACCTCGTTCGCCTGCCTCCTGGTCAGAAACGCAAGCACCTGCACCTGAATGAAATGAGTGACGTTTTTGTGTTGATGTTGTTGTGTCATTTCTGTGTTCATCGGTTTGCAGAGTTGGCCGAGCTGCCGTTGGTCCGGCTTGATTTTTCCTGTAACAAGGTAACGACAATCCCAGTATGCTACCGCAATCTCAGACACCTCCAGAGCATCATTCTGGACAACAATCCTCTCCAGAGCCCACCTGCACAGGTAACACACATTCCAGTTTTGATCTAAGAAATACGTCACTTTATAAGAGTAAAAATATTTTTGCATTGCCTTTGAGAACTGTTTAAAAGCTAAGAGCACCTCTGAGAAAGAATCATGGTTATTGGTGTGTTTTTCCATTTTTTTCCAGATCTGTATAAAGGGAAAGATCCATATATTTAAATATCTGAACATGGAGGCATGTAAAGCAGCATCAGACCTTCCAGACTACGACAGAAGGCCACTGCCTTTCGGATCCTGGTAAGAACTCGCTTCATTTCACTGGGTTTTGTGAGCATAAACTCCTCCTTGTCTTTCACTCTCGCACCCACATTCATTTGAGCCGGTGTTTATCGGCCGTATCTCTCAGAGGACACGCAAAGCAGGGCGATTCTGCAGATAAGAAGGGAGGGAAAGTAAAAGACACAGACAGAATGAAAGCTTGGTTTGATTGGAATGAAGGTATGAAGAGAGGAGAGATTGCAGCAAAACCGGATGACGTTAGATGAGATGATGTAGAGATCAAACTTCTCAGGAAATCTGACAGAAATTTATATGTGGATCTTGTATACAAGGAGCCACAGTGGCTCTCAAGATGTTTGTGGTAAAAGCACCATCTTTATAAGCATACATACATTAAGTGGTTACAAATTATGATACCTAAAATGTTGCTGTTACTTTTCTGAATAATCAGGTTATTATTTGTGGTGGCAAATAAAATAAAAAATAAAATAAAATAAAATAAAGTACAAAATAAAAAAGGTATAAAATAAAAAAGCAAAATAAAATTAAATAAATGGGCGAAAAACATCAACTTGAGGCCAGAAAATCAAAAACTTGAGCTAAAATAAAATACAGAATATAAAATACAATACAATTAAAATAATATAAAAGGTTAAAAACTGTACAGACTTGAAACTGGAAAATCAAGGACTTGAGATAAAGTAAAATAAAATAAATGGGTGAAAAAACAGAACAGACTTGAGAGCAGAAAATCAAAGACTTGAGATAAAGTAAAATAAAATATAGAATATAAAATAAAATACAATACAATAAAAATAAAATAAACATAAATGGGTGAAAAAACAGCACAGACTTGAGAGCAGAAAATCAAAGACTTGAGATAAAATACAATATAGAATATAAAATAAAATAATATACAACAAAATTTAAATAAAATAATTAAAGGGAGACAATACCACAGAATTATATTAGAGGAGGGACCCAAGCCATATCTAGACACCAGAAAATCAAAAAGATATTTTACTCTCATCTCTTGTAGGATGATATGGGTGTTAGAAAGTAATTTTAGACCTTTAGCAGTCTATTTGTGACCCTGGACCACAAAACCAGTCATAAGGGTCAATTTTTCGAAATTGAGAATTATACATCATCTGAAAGCTGAATAAATAAGCTTTCCATTGATGTATGGTTTGTTAGAATAGGACAATATTTGGCTGAGACACAACTATTTGAAAATCTGGAATCTGAGGGTGCAAAAAAATCAAAATATTGAGAAAATCATCTTTAAAGTTGTTCAAATTAAGTTCTTAGCAATGCATATTACTAATCAAAAATTCAGTTTTGATATATTTACGGTAGGAAATTTACAAAATATCTTCATGGAACATGATCTTTACTTAATATCCTAATGATTTTTGGCATAAAAGAAAAATCTATAATTTTGACCCATACAATGTATTTTTGGCTATTGCTACAAATATACCCCAGCGACTTAACACTGCTTTTGTGCTCCAGGGTCACCATTTCTATGTGTGAAACCTCAGATGATTTGATGTGGTTCTCTCTGATCTGTCTGTCTCTCAGTGCAGAGGATTTGTATTCTGGCCGGACGTACGGAGCTCTGGACTCTGGCTTTAACAGTGTGGACAGCGGAGACAAGAGGTGGTCTGGAAATGAGGCAAGTGCTGTTCTGATCACTCAATCAGCAATCCACTCTATCCAGCTGTTATTCTCCATAATGTAGCACTCATTTAATTGTCCTGTTCTGCCTTTTCCCCATCTATCCTTTCTTAAAGCCTTCAGACGAGTTGTCAGACTTGCCTTTAAGAGTGGCGGAAATCACCAGAGAGCAAAGACAGAGACGAGATCGAGAAAGAGAACGTGAGGATCATCGGATGGGGTCTCACGTAACCAATGGCGCATGTGAGATGACATCTACACTTATGAATCACTATAGTTCACTCTAGTAATAAGCTCTACAGGATTTTAATTTTAAATCACCTTGTCGTCTCTTTCTAAAGTGGAAGCAGAGCTTGAACAGATAGACTTCATTGATAGCTGTACGGGGGATGATGATGAAGAGGATGGGCGGAGCCGTAAAGGGGCGGAGCCTGTCAACCTCAGCTCACAGTTTATGGCCTACATTGAAAGACGAATCACTAGAGAGGTGCGCATTACTGATTAATAGCTGATCACATCAGTTCTACTCAACACCAGTTGGATTTTGTTGTTAACACGGGGATAATGATAGCTTTACTTTGTTTCTAGGGGTCACCCGTGAAGACCAGCCCATCCAGAGACTTAAGAACTGATGATCCAAGACGCCAAATCTCCTTACATAACCGGTACTAAACTAATTAAACTTTCATGATAAGTACAATGTATAATATACATTTGCACTCCACCATAAGCAATAATGATCTTGTTTTTCATGTCTATTTCCCGTCTGCTTTGACTAGCTGAAAAATCATAAATTCAATCATTAGTAATATGATTTATTAGTTTACCAATTGTTACCAATAGGTGGCACTGTTGTCAAATTGATGTGGTGTCAGTGTTAGGTGACAATGACACACATAAAGTTTGGTGTCGATATGTCAAAGCTTTGCAGAGATACAGCATCAGATGCAGTTTGGCACCATACCATCAAATTTGTTAATGCGGTAAACGGAAACCGTTTCGCCAATCAACACGAAATTCATAACTTTTTGCTGACTTGGTCTGAAGATGATTTGGGTCGAATTTTGTGAAAATTGGACATGCGGTCTAGGAGGAGTTCGAAAAGGTAGGTTTTCAACGTAAATCGAATTGGCTGACACAAAGTTCAGCTGATTATGGCATAATTGGTATAAATGTTCTCAGCATGATGCAAGGAATCTGTCAAGACTAGTAGCATTATAATAGGCAAAACTAATCAAAAGCTATTAGAATTTTTTGAAATTTCATTATAATTAATAACCACAAAACTTTGAGTACCAGGTTTCGTAATGATATGCCAATGAGTTCGTAAAATACAGCATTTTTGACAAAATTTATAATGGCCGACATGGGAAAATTGGGTATTGTATGACTCTAAGCAAAAATGCATGCAAACTGTGCATGTAACCTCAGGTCATGATTATTATAACACACACCAAGTTTGGTCTCAATACGCTAAACCGTTGCGGAGATATAGGCTCACGTCCATTTTGCCGTGCTCTTTGTCAAATTAGTTTACGCGTTATTCAAGAATGGTTTGACTAATCATCTTGAATTCCATAACTTTTTGCCAGCATAATCTAAAGATGATCTGAGCCAAGGGATCAGAAAAAAAAAAGATTTTGCTTCTAAACTTTACGGTTCAAAAATTATTAGCATAAACATTAGTGCAAATTTGTCCTGTTGGTGGCGCTAGAGGGTTTGAGTTAGAGACTCCAAACTTGCTATGGTTAATGTTGAGACTGTCCTATATCTGCGTTCCAAATTTGATAACTTTCCCGCAAGCAGTTTTATGGGCCGCCATAGACTTCCCAAGAAGAACGCCAACTATTACAATGGGTGCCTACGAACCATCGGTGCTTGGCCACTAAAAAATTAAGAATTAGAAATCAAATAGAGAAGTAAAATATCTGTTTTCACTAACAATTGTTGTCTCTTTAGTGGTGGCTCAGATACAGCGGTCACATCTTCATACGCTCATAATCAGGTGAGAGTCCCTGTACATTCACATCTCATTATGCAGTCAATGAAATTTACTGTGAAATTTACTGAATTTACTCTGGTTGTGTGTCAGCGTTCTGGTGGCGGTGTGGAGAGAGTGAGACGGGAAGCTCAGCTGGCGGCTCTGCGGTACGAGGAGGAGAGACAGAAAACAAGATCAGTGCAAAGAGACGCCGTTATGAATTACGTCAAGGTATACACACAATTATTAATGCATTTGCAAAAAAAGTGCTGCAAACTCTTTAAATTAGAAAAGAGTTGCTTGAGTATGATTATAAACACAATGAGTCTGTAAAAGCAATTCACGGGTATGAATTTACCTGTTCGGTGTGATGATGTTTAATGTCCCCAGCCACCTCTGTAGTCGCATTTAGCCATTTGTTAGCAAATGCTTTTTCACGACATAAAAAAACAATAAAAAATACTATGGAAGTCAATGGCTACCGTCAACTGTTTGCTTACCAACATTATTCAAAATATCTTCTTTTGTGTTCAACAGAAGAAAGAAACTCATGTAAGCTTGGAACAACTTGAGGATGAGTAAAAGATTACCATTTTCATTTTTGGGTGAACTATCCGTTTAAGTCTTGTCTATTAAAAGCTTCCCAATAGTTAACAAAATGTGACCCTGGAGCACAAAACCAGTCTCAAGTCGCTGGGGTATATTTGTAGCAATAGCCAAAAATACATTGTATGGGTCAAAATTATCCATTTTTCTTTTATGCCAAAAATCATTAGGATATAAAGTAAAGATCATGTTCCATGAAGATATTTTGTAAATTTCCTACCGTAAATATATCAAAACTTAATTTTTGATCAGTAATATGCATTGCTAAGAACTTCATTTGGACAACTTTAAAGCTTTAAAACTTTTTTTGCACCCTCAGATTCCAGATGTTCAAATAGTTGTATCTCAGCCAAATATTGTCCTATCCTAACAAACCATACATCAATGGAAAGCTTATTTATTCAGCTTTCACATGATGCATAAATTTCAATTTCGAAAAATTTACCCTTATGACTGGTTTTGTGGTCCAGGGTCACAAATATAATGGCATTTAGTATAACGAGAGTTACCGCAATAATACATCAAGATGCTCTGAAGGGCGAAAATTGATCTTCAGCATCCAAATCCCGATTGAAACTCTCCCCAAATGTGTCCGGTGATGTTTCTAAAGATAGTAAATCGATTTTCTGTCTTGTATTTTCAGCACAAGTCGTCTCCAAGCCCTACGAAGCCCAGTCCGACAGACAGTGAGGTGAGTGTCTCCTTCACATTTACACAATCACTTCCTCCCTATCCATCACTTCATTCTGCTGTGTGTGTGAATGTGAGTGTGTGGCGCTGTAGTCATATGCATACTGTCCCACCCCAGAGTCTGTACCCCTCCAGACGGTCCACTCACACCGATGACTCCGCCCTCTTCATGGTAAGAGCCAATCAGCTCGGATCATGCGTCATCCTCTGCACCATCTCTTTTCTCTTGTGTGTTCACTTCCCTTAACAGATGTCACTATTGTGCTTTTTAACTTTGCATAATGTATTAACACGATTTAAGGTTATTTATAATCGAAACTGCTTTTCTGATCCAAGCTGTTAACATCCTTTAAATTTGCACTCAGTAATTAAAAAGTTTACTCGTTATTTAATTGTTCTTTTGACACATGATTCAAATGGTGACTAGTGACAAGAAAAAGCTGTTTTGTTAAGATATGACCAGCCTTATCTTGTAATTGATCGTTATTACTATCTAATTATTATTAAAACTTGCTGAGTGCATCTTTAATATTAGATCTGCTTTTCCCAGCGAGCGTCTTTAACACGCCTGCCCTGCTTTTTTTGCTCCCCTTCCTGTCTTTCTCTCTTTCTCTCTCTGTCATGTTGGTTCTGTGTCAGAGTGAGTTTGAGCCCCTACTGATATTTGAGATAGACACAGATACCAACACTATAAAGAAGAGGCCAGACCCTCACAAACAGGTGAAAGACACACAGACATGTTTACTAGCTAGATGTCTAAATGGGAACCTACCATACTCTGCTGTTGATTAATGCTGATTCACAATTAGTATTGCTCATAATTAGGGTTAGGGGCATTAATAAACCAAAAAACCTTTGTATTAAACTTTTTGCATGTTGCAAAGCTACTCACAAATTTTCATTTTGATAATTGTATTTATTCGTTTTTTGTTCGTTTGTTTTTTTAGAGACTGGAGATGATCTGCCTCCATCACTCTAGATGCAAATAAGCTTATTATGGATGTTGTTGTTTTTTATTTGACAATTTCATTCTCAAAAATTGTTGTAAGCTAGTAAATTAAATAATAATAATATAATAATTTATCTGTTTGTTTGTAAACTGTAGATGATCTCAAAAATGATTTTAGGCTTGTAAATTTAAGTAATAATATATATATATATATATATATATATATATTTATTTGTTTGTTTGTAGCCTGGAGATGATCCGCCACCATACTTTTTCTATAAATACAAATAATCTTATAACAAATATTCTCAATATGTTTTTTCTTTTGTTTGCAGCCTAGAGATGATTTACCTACATTTTATTTCTGTACATTCAAATAAATTTATTATGGATTTTTCTTGATGATTTTACTCTCGAAACTTATTTTAGGCTTGTAAATTTAAATAATAATAATTTGTATTTATTTATTTATTATTTGTTTGTTTGTAGCCTGGAGATGATCCACCTCCATCACTTTGTTTCTATAAATGCAAATAATCTTAATATGCATGTTTCCTGATTACATTTTAACAATCATCATCATCATTTAAAAATTATTATTTTTTTATTTAAGCTGATTATGACCCCTAAAAGAAAGCATTTTACATTTGTTTTAGCGTTTTTCCTGCAGCATTTTCAGTAACAAACTTTAAAATCTTTTACTCTTCTTAAACTTTCTCAAACCCTCTGTTTATTTCCTAACTTCGCTCCTTTATTTCCCCTCGTTTCGTATCTTTCTCCCTCTCTGCATTGCTCTGGCTGGCTAGTCTCTCTCTGCTGTGCCGCTGGATGGACGTGTGTCTCCCACTTTATCCGTGGCCTTCTCCTGTACGCCACAGGTACTGAACCGCAAGAGCCTGGAGAGGATCTGCCTCCATCACTTTATCTCTATAGATGCAAATATGCTTACTGTGGATGATTTTACTTTCATAAATTCACTACACAAAGATACTGCTGTTGCATTCAGATCTAACTCCCTGACATAACCAGGCAGAATGCAGTTAATAATGAGTTTAATCCTAACCAGCCACAACTGCGACAAGCATTGAATAACAAAATATCTGTTTTTGGCTCCTTGGTTCTTGTTTTTGTGACAAAAAAACTGATATCTAATCGTGTCAATACCGTGTTTCACTGTAATAAACATCAAATATTTTGCGACTGACTGTGATTTTGTGAGCAGTATTTCCATTATTTGAGGAAATGATGCTGGATAGGTGTCACGTCATGCCTGTTTAGGACACGGTGTAAGATTTCAGCTGATGCATGCGCATGTTTGTTTAGGGTTTGGACGTTCTCACATCAAAAACGTGTTGTAAAAATGAGGGCGAATCTCACAAAAACTGCCAAGAAATGTGACCCTGGACCACAAAACCAGTCATAAGGGTCAATTTTTCAAAATTGAGATGTATGCATCATCTGAAAGCTGAATAAATAAGCGTCTTATTGATGTATGGTTTGTTAGGATAGGACAATATTTGGCTGAGATACAACTATTTGAAAATCTGGAATCTGAGGGTGCAAAAAAA